TTCAAGATATAACTGCGTTTAAGTCTAAAAACTAAACTAAATAATAGTTCTTTTTTTTTTTTTTTTTTATCAGTTATAAAAGAAATTAACAAACTAGTACTAAGGCAATCCGCCAAAGATACTTAGAGATCAGCGTTCTGTGAAACTGGATTAAGTGTTGAGATCAGAGTTTACACTGAGCGCCACCTGCCCATGTGTATATATAGTATGTAAGTGCGTGCCTGATGCTGCGCATCGTTCTAGTTAGTTCAACACGAGCTGTTAGCCAGTCAGCGTGTACACAAGACCTCAGTTTTTCTACGATGGTAAGCCTTTTGTAAAACGACAGCACGGCTAAGTAAGATAAATGCTTATTCATATTTATTATAAAGTGTACAGTGGATTATATTATTTATTTTATATTCTGGCAATATCCTAAGTCCTAAGAAACTGAGGACTTAAGATATTTCCAGGATATTACCATGAAGAGGCACAGTGGAATTGATAATGCTAACAATTTAAAAGATAATAATTGGAAATTAATGGTATAGAATGAGAAGACAAATCGATATAGGTTTTTTGAAGTTAATAAAATTATTTTAATGGGTATTGAAACAAAAAGCCGTATATAACACGGGCAAATTACTATTACGCAAACTTTTTAGAGGTTTTGTTAAATAAGCCTAACGATTTTTTTATTGACTTGTTCTTTTATTGATTGACTTTTAAAAACTTTATTTTCAATGATTAAACATCCATACAAGATTCTAAAAATGGATGCAGTCAAATAATATCTAAATTAAAATTTTTAATTATATAAAGTTCTTAATGAATCAAAAATTTTTTCTGGTCTGCGTTGAGGATGGACTAGGTTGAAGACAGGTTGAGGACTAGGGTTCAATTTTTTAAAATCAATCTACATATTTTAATAAAGAAAGAAAGGGAATTTATATTTTTTATGATTATAAAGATACCGGCATGGTCCACCACTTAAAAATTACCTAAGCTGATTAGTCATTTTTGAACTAAGTACAATTTTTTCTCGCCATATTTTGATGCGTATTTAATAATTCAGTAGATAAACTGATTGACAATTTGAAAAGAAGTCAGTACGCTACAGCAACACCTTGATGGTGGTATATGTATTAAATCAGTGTATTAAATTGAACTTATCAAAAAAAAAAAAAAAAATATACAAGAGTAAATACATAATTGTGTTTTTAGTTTCCAGGATAATTAAGAGGTAAAAAATACTAGTTAAACAAAATAAAAAAAATGTATGAATTTAATTCATTCAGTTATCAAACTAAAACTTAAGAAATATTTGGTGAGCTACGAAGTTAAATAAAAAACTTAATTTAATCGAATAAAGGACAAACTGTAATGGTTTGACCTCGTATTAAGGGTGACTAAAGGGGGGCCAAGATAGAATCACAAAGCATGAGGCGGTGGAGGTTGAGTAGAATATTCAAACTGAGAAGAATGAAACGTAAAAAAAAAGAAATGTAGTTTTTGATAAAACTGTTAGCTTCGATATTTCCTATTTATAAGAAAAGGCATAGTTAACGTACACAATCTCACAATATTTAATAATAAAGTGTGATGAGTAGATATATTTGGATACAGAAAAATTATAGAAATGCTATTGAGGTCAACGCCAGTTTTAACTTATATAAAGGAGGATTGTTATAAAAATTTAACCCAATTATATCACAGAGAAACGGAAACAATTGTACTATACAATGAGGGGCACTGGGAGGGAGATTTAGAAAGGATGAGAGGGGGGTCAGGGACGAAAGAATACTTTATCCAATTGAAATTTCAGAAAAGTTAAAAGAGTTTTACTATACTTTAAAACGGCGTGGAGAAGATAGAGAGGTAGGTGTGAAATAATAGACAAAAACGGAATTAAATTTAAAAAATTAATGATCGACTAGCAACGTATGATTGAATGCAAACATTATTGCTGTAGTTTTTACATTTGCACGACCAAAAGAAACAAGCTGTGATATTTGTGCGTCTTTTTTTGAACCAAAAAGTGAAATATAAATACTTTTACTATAAAAAAAAATTGAATTTTACGGTGTACTCAATGTATTAATAATTTTATTGGTTCTTTTAACGTTTGACACTAGGTGCTAGCAAATTAGTAAATTAATTTCTCGGAAGGACCAGTTGCACTGATTGAATTTTTAAATTGTTAAATTTTAATATTTTTTTCAAGACTTCTAAAACACGTCAAAAAAAAAAAACGCGCAAAACACAGTGAAAAAATAAGCTAAGTTTTTTTTTAATTACCTTAGGAACGTAAAAATTCAGATTTTTTGTTAGTTCTCCAACGTCACTCGAAAAAATTAGCAAATATTAATCTTTCGCATTACAAAAAGACAAAGTCATTGCCTTATTAATGTTTGATCTGAGTAACATCTTTACTGAGTAGTAATAGTTACTTTTGGTTATTACAAGTTACTCCATGTGAGGATGCGCGTTTTGAATAAATTAACGTCGCTGACACAACACGAAAATCTTTAACGTAGAGACCGCTACTATTACACACACGCACTCGATCTTTTTCAAACACAATCCTTACTTTGAACTTTTGTTGTATCATACTAAATTCGGCAAACGATCCCTGTATTATGGATAAGCTTATTTCAATTAATAAACTTTGGTTTTTACCCTTTTTTCAATGTTCACAGGTGTCTTCATTTTTCTGTAATAATCAGAAGTTTACGACCAAGCCAAGACTGTTAAACAAGCTGTATTGAGTGAATGCTCATACAGAAGTTCTTAGAGCACCATACTTCAACATTAAAAACTATGTTAAATTACGTGAAGTCAATTACATAATAGGAATATTTATAAATTATTAATTCTCAAATTACATTCAGCTTTAAAATTTGTAAGGCTATTTGATGAATATAAGAAACAAAAGCAACTACTTAAAACGTTGTTGCTTTGGTAATAATGATCTACGATGATTTATCAAAGTATAAAGTCAATTGTAATGGACGATTGTTAAATCAAAATTTAGTTAATTTTAGGATAATCTGACACAGACTTACTTACTCACCTATTAACGGAGCCATTTTTCTACTTATGCAATCATTGGTAGTTGATGTGCATGAAAGTAATTTGTTAACGTATACGTATATGGGGCATTCCATGTCAAGTGAAACAGTCAAAAAATAGTTTAGGCCAAAATCTATGGGAATCGATAGTCCTTTGTGAGAAATCATTACTCTAATTTTTTCAGAATTTTTTACCGACACCAAAGCCGTCGCCGTCAGTGACGATCACAAATTTGAAATATTTTCTTGGACCCAATTCTTTCCAATTATTTTGCGAGGAGTTTATATGAATATTAGGTTACGTAGCTCGGGATGCATTTGATTAGCACATCAGGTTAACCACCTTATGATTAAGTATTTTTTACGTATAAACGCGTTGGGTTACATAGCACCCGTTTTTTGGCGCTCTTGCACATATAGTTAACCCTACCAGACTTACTAGATCTACCCGACTCAAGACTGACGAGTCTGTGAAGTTGGGTCAGATAAGTTATAATATAATACCGAGGTCACATTCTTGAACAAAAAAAAATGACTGAAAAGTAAGGTTTAATTTTACAGCCAGAAGAGAATTTCAGGTCATTTAAAATCCCTGCAAAGAGATTATGTTGTAAGTCGATAGGCTGGTAGTTTCAAAGTGGGCTCTTAGCCTAATGTGACTACAACAGCACATAGAAGCTTACTTGGAATCGTTTAAGCTTCAGAGACTACCACAGCGTGAATAGACTGGCTCATATTCGCATTTAAATTCCATGACAACAATGAACCAGCGGCTATATCGAATCTGCCATGATGATTTCCATGGCGATCTACAAAGTTAATTGCATAAATAAAAATGTATTGTAATTATTCTTACGGATTGATGAACGGACGAAATATGAAATCTAACGTGAATTCGTATAATTAAACTTTCATGAATTTTTTTTCTCTGAAAACATGCATTTAATCGAAAAAGTACAAGACACAATTTCAACTTAGAATTGAACGAGAAATAAGATACGATTTTTTTTAGAATTATTTTTTGGATATTTTTAAAAATCGTCCACCATATTGGATCAGCCATTTTGAATTCCGAAAGTTTAACCACACACTCATCATCGGCAGCCTCTATGAATACTAATAAGTTTTTTATCTGATTGCAAAACTTGGAAACCCGAGCGAAAAAGCGTCAAATTTGGTGACCATAATGTTCAGCGCCACCTAGCGCCTATTTCCGTTTCAAACCTACTACGCAGAAAGTCACGGAAGTAGAATTTGTTATAAAGTTTTAAAAAAATCGTGTCATACTTTGTGAAAAAAATTATTGAACCTCAAAAACTTATAAAAGAAGGGTTACATAACCTCAAATCGTTTTGAAAATACTTTTAACCGATTCTACGTCAAAAAATCTACAAAATGTGGCCCCTTCGTGATACATTTTTTCTTCATTTCTTAGCAAAATAATTGGAGAGAATTGGATCAAAGAAAATATTTTAAATTTGTGATTGGNTTTTTAGCAAAAGTAGCAAAATAATTGGAAAAGAATTGGGTCCCATAAAATATTTCAAATTTGTGACCATCACTGACGGCTTTGGTATCGGTAAAAAATTCTGAAAAAATTAGAGTAATGATTTCTCACAAAGGACTATCGATTCCCATAGATTTTGGCCTAAACTATTTTTTGACCGTTTGACGTGGAATGCCCCATATGTATATTTCTGATTGCTGTGCTTAGTAGTACCACATATTTAGTTTGCTTGACTAATTCAGAAAAAAATAATTGTCAACTAGTTTTAAGTAGATCAATTTTGAGACACATATTTACGCTCTTCCGAATGTGTTATAGAATTGAAATGAGCTAGGACTACAATCAACCAAAACGAAGTACAATAAAAATTTGCATTTCTTAATAAATAATTTCATTCAATGTAATCAACTGGACGGGGAAAAAAATAAGGTATTCAAAATTATTTATTCTCGATGAATTAAAACATAAATACCAAGACATGCCAAGATGGCATACTTAAATTTAGGATATTCATTCATGTATATTGTCACCATTCCAACGTATGGTAGGAATCCTCTTGCTCTACCAACAACGTCCTTATTAGTGAGCCAATACTGATCCTTTGCATAAAGTCCTCGATCATCAACAGAATTATTATCACCTTTTGTTAAAAATTTTATTGTATTATTTTGCATACCCCTGAAACAGAAAAATTAGTTTTAGTATCCTATGAATGAGATACATTTTAGTAATATACTAAAAGTGCGCTATTTTTAATTACTGTTTATGAAAAAAATCATATGAAGGGCACATTACATGTAAATTTACAATCAGGAGATCTCACCTGAGATCTTACGTGAGATTTTTTAAAAGTATCCTTAGTCAAAAAAAAGTAAATAAATAAAAATTGATTTCATAGTATTTAAAGCTACTCCATTGGTGATACCATCTACATGGTACATCGAAAAACACATCATAACGTCAATTTAAAAAAATGAAATGAATATTTTTCATTCTCAGGTGAGATTTTATCTGATATCTCATCTGAGAATGTACCTAAGATCTTACCTGAGACTTTGAAAAATTTATTTTATCTTTAAAAAAACTGACGTAAAATACTTTTAAAGATGTTTTTTTATGTAAAATCCAAATGGTATCCACTGGGTGCATGAGAGCGGAGGAGAGGGCTGCTGCCACTAGTCACTTTAATATTGTGTCTTATGAACGGTGGGGGTACATCCGCCAATGACAGCCATTTTAACTATTTTCTTCCACAAGATTAAACATGGGCTTTGAGGGCAAAATGAGGGAAGCGCCAGTCATACTCCTAGCGTATTTACTGTGAGAATAGCAAGTGGTGCCCTCAGCTCGTGACCAGTGCTTGTACCTCGGGTACCTATTAAAACGAGATTTTTATTTCTCTTAAAACTTTTTTGTATCATCCGTGATCAAAATAAGCTAAAATTTTTTGGGTCCGGCTTAATCTGCACGAGAACATTAAAAAAAACTTTTTTTATGGTATTTTTAAAAAAAAGTAGCTTTACGGGTTGAAAAAATCATATCAAGTTCATGATTATACCACTCACAATGAAAATTTAATTGTATCCCTGCACTTGTACAAAATGCTGAGTCCCTACTATTAAGTACTATACTATCCGAGTCAATAATAAAACGCTGTATAAAGATAAAATGCTATTCGTTCAAAAAAAGTAGCGTTACGGGTTCAAAAACTTATGCTAAAATCATATCATGAGTATACCACTTACAGTGAAAATTTAACTGTATCCTTGCACTTGTACAATGTACTGTGTCCATACTATTATATTCTACACTATTTTAGCCGATAAGTCAGCACTCAGTGAAGATACAATGTCTTTTGTATCGTTACGGGATAGCGTTACGGGCTCTTAGCAAAAAAAGGGGCGTTACGGGCTCTTATAAAATCGCCGGAAATCGAGATTGTAACGCACTAAACGGAAATTAAACTTTGCTACTGCACTTATGTTATATATAAAACAGCTAAATTTTAACCCGCTACCATTCAAGTCGATAACGGAATGCTTCAAAAAGTAACATAACATTCCTTAGCGTTACGGGCTCTTGGTTTTTATTTTAGGGAGACAGAATCTTCAAATTCGCGAGTCTGTAGAACTGGCTTATTGGAATGGAAAAATCGAAGAAAATTTTTGCAACATTTTTGACCTTTGTTGAATACAAAACGCCCTTATTGGAATGCCTAAATTCCATTGCGTACGTTTGTGAGCGTATTTTCCGTTGAAATGTTAAATTTATTAGATTTTGGTCCCGCAACTTTGATAGCATCCAACTCTTGAGTACTTTTTTTTGGCTGTCTAAATACGTGAAAATGTTCTTTAGGTTAACAACTTTGAGATCCTACACTGTAGAAAAATTCAAAACTCCGTGTTTTGATTCCAAGCATCGTCAAAACTGCAATTTTTTGAATGAGACATGAGCCCATAACGCTAATTCAGCCCTTTTTTGTATCTTTAAGTAAAGGAATACTCTCTTATGGTCTGAATTTTGTTGTACCTTTAGCAGTAAATATCTTTTAAATAATTAAAAAAGGTTCCAGATCGACAACTCCTTAAACGACTTTGCAATCGACTACGACATAAAATATGCCGTTTTCAGTAGAATGACCTATATATACATATACTATCAGTCTTTACAACCAAATAAAAAACTTGGGTTTTAAGAATTATCATTTACTTATTACACCACATACATACCCACACTATTCATTGCAAAAAAATTTACACAGAACATTACACTGGGTCTTTGTTTGCAATGTCAGCACGCCAACATAGAGCCAAGTTGCATCCATTAACATGTACTTGACCGGTTTGAATCTTTAAATTCTTTTTATTTACCTGCGATTATTTACTAACACCGTAATTATTGATTGTAACCTCTCAATCAACTACAGATTTTTTGCATAAAACACATAACTTTTCTTTAATTCCTTATCAATATGTATTACAAATTAACATATTTCTACACCTCATGTAGCAACTCAACCAATACAACTACATTTCTTATACTTACTAACACTTGTTATAGTACTGTGTTCGCGTCCGTTAGGCATTTTAAGACCAACACCAATTTTTTTTTTNATTTTTCTAATTCAGAAGTTTCTCTGTTGGTATCTATAAGTAATAACAACAGAAATCAGGTATGCGTGATGCATAGCATAACGGATAAGGTCCTCAACTACCAATCCGAAGTTTGGGGGTTTGATTCTCGGAGTCAGAACAATTGAAAATTTTTTCCACCCAAATATTTGTATGTAATAAGGGACAACTTGAAGTCGATCTTAAAAAACGCTTTTATTCATCGTGAGTTCCTCTATAACGTGGTAAAATGTTCTTTCATTCTAGGTGGTACACGATGTCAATTTGGCTGTCCAAAAATTGTCAAAAATTCTTTGAAACTATTTTTCGTATTTCGGAACAAATTGTTATCTTACGTAGTAATTAGTATAAAAAATTTTAAAGAAAAAGTAAATTTAAATAAGATATTAATCAGTTGTGTTTATTTTAGTTGCAAAATACTTTTATCAAATCATCGAAACTTTTTAAAAATAACAAAAAATTATGACATGAACATGCAAACTCAATCAGTGATAACAGACAGAACGGTATCCTCTTAAAGCCGAGTTCAGTACTCTAAAGACTCGCAAGCTATGGGCTGGCGCGAATAGAGTACAGCTCAATAGAGTCTCTACCCCAATTCTCCTACATACGTTCCCTCTTTATATGATATATATGTATGATTAATCCAAGCCCACTTTAAGCCTCCCAATATAATTAAAGAATTTTAGTGCACTGCGTTTTGTAGTTCGGGGCGCATTTTTATTTGTAAATAACAGTTCTCATTTACAAAAAGAAAAAACTCAAGGGCAGGTTTATAAGTATAAAGTTGAAACACTTCTCCAATATTTAAGTTATAAATAAAAATCAAATAATTAACGTAAAAGTTCGTAACAAAAAAAAGTCAAGTGCACATCATTATTTGATAAATTTTGTTAAGCGATTAAAAAAATATCATCAGTTATAAACTATAAGTTAGTCACGGTACCTGTACATCAATCTGTATTATTACTTGTTTCTAAAAAAACGACATAAGCACACTACGTTATTAATATGAAGTCAGTTTTATTAATAAGCATGGTTATTATTTGTTAATAACATTGAGTGAAATTAAAATCTTTTAATCAAATTTAGTTATTTACAAGTGATTTCTTGCATTTCCCTGAACAAAAATAATTAAATGCTCAGCGATATTTGAAAAAAGGCATTTGGTTATTAATAAACATTACTAACTCTTTGAAATATGGAGACGTACATTAATGACGGTATTTAGGTAAAAATTTATTCATACAACATTAAAATATTACTTATAAAAAACATGACAGCAATGTATTGTTACATCAAAGTCCCGTTTTGAATAATTGTCATTATCATTCATAATAAAAAAAAAATTTTAACTTATCAAAATACTTGTTAATAAAATAAGTTATTAATTAACATTTAATTTATTAAAGATAAGGAGACTAGAGCTAACTAAGTCATATGGTCATGAGCTATTGTTTATTAATTAACAGCACGATAAATTAAAATTATAAGACATGGACGTACTAGACTTTTCCGTCGAACGTGCTTGTATGATAATTTACATTTCAATTTATTTGAGGTGAAACGAGTAGAGCGTACTGGATAATTGATTAAAGATGCTTGTTTAAACAATGCTATTATTTACTGAAAACAGCAAAACTCAAGTACACTAAATTTCTAGATTGAAGCTGCTTGTTTATTAACCAACATTGTTATTTATTTCTAACGGATACATTCAAGCTCACTGGGTTATGGTATTGGGTAAAGGCACTTGTTTATCAATTGATAATATTGTTGATAAGAAAAAGAATTGCAATTCTTGTTTTTGGAAATTAAAAAAATTAATAAAAGACGATAAAACATTCTGGAAAAAATCCATCAAAATGTTTTCAACATAAAACGAAGCTCAAAAAATTGTATTAGAAAAGTTGATCGCTTAACATAAACAAAAAAATAATGGTCCAATACGTCATCAGGGCGTAAAATGAAAAACATGAGGGTCCGAAGGGCACAGATGTTTTATGTTGGTGCCCGAGTCTCGTATAATGTTTTTCTTACCAAGGGCGCAAATTGCAATTTTGGGACTGTGGGCACACTTTGCGCCGAGTATATCATTTTGGGATCTAGGGCAGAAAAGGACTTTGGGCCCAGAGGGTGCAAACATCTTTTTTACCCGTTAGCCCAAAGTGATTACAACGGTGAAAAGTGTGGCTCAAGGGCGCAAAGCGGCAGTTGCACTTTGTGTCTATGGTAAGAAAACGAGTTTTTTTATGTTAATGGTAAAGCACGTGTATACAAAATACTTATTTGGTAATGTACATCGATTAAAAAATGGGTTTTGTCTATTGATTATAACGTATCCTTTTTACAAGCAATATGTTGGATGCTATAGCAATGCACCATAATATGCTCCTTCTCGCCCAGTATCGGTGGCCAACGTGTCTCACTAAGGTTTGTTTTTTTCAGAAACAAACGACAAGTCGTGACTTATTTTTTGGATCATATTAACACATTATCACGTGGAGTGGTACATTATTTCTTCTTACACTGTGTACCGCAGACGTA